CTGTCAAAGCCCCAGTGTGACTTCAGAGCACTTGATTTATTTTTGCTTTTGGCATTCTGACTCGCTGCAGGCTGTGTGAGTCATTCAGAAAAAGGTGGTCCAGGGGCATGGAGGCCATTGCCTTTCCTTAATTCCCATAATTAATTGCTTTCTAATCAGGGGCAATGGCTCTTGGCAAATGAGCCTGCCAAATATTTGCTTACTCCCCTTGTGAGCCATTCAGCTTTGGCCACTGAAACCACACAGCTAGTTGCAGATACAGCATGATGGGTTAGTTGGGGAATGTCAAGCCAGATCTTGATCTTACTGGGGTACAGAGAGTTATTCGTGGATTATGGAAGATTTTCTGATACATTGTATTTGTTGTGCTTGAAAACTTAGAGTACATTTGGACAAAATTTATTTTCTGTACGCATTGAATTTTTTCTTTCAGCTAGTATTTGCTATGTTTTTCTGTTTCTGATTTAAGGGCCAGGGCATGAAGATGAGCTATAGATTATATTTCTGCCATCAGGGGCATTCAAGTGCAGACAGAAAATATATAGGAAACAAGAAATGTGCACACCAACAAACAAATACAATCAATCAATTACTCATGAGTGCTAAGAAGGAAATCAAACAGGATGATGAGGTAGAGAGTGAAGCGTGGTGCTATATGTAGGAGGTCGGGCAAGACATCTTTGAAAAGACAGCATTTGTGCCGAAATATGCATGATAGGAAAGACCCAGGCATGTGAGGAAGATTGGAGTTGGATTTGGTTATCCAGGCAGGTGGATATTATATGAGTGCTGAGGTGAGAAGGAGCTTAGTGGGTTTGGGGACTATAACCTAACCCAGTGTGGTTGAATTAGGTGAGAAGGGAAGACAGTGCTATATGTTTGTCTGCTATGTTTTGATTGTTATTAATTGATGACAATGGGGACATCTGGCTTACTTCTCCCCCTCCTCTTCTCTGCCTTATATCATTCTTGGCAAATTCAGCATCCGTGAAGTTGGGACCTCTATGACCCTGAGCCTCCTTAGCACTATCCATTTCTTCCTCCCTCAGCCTACCTACTCACACAGTCATGCTCTTGTCTTGGTTATCTCCAGCAGTTGTGTCATCTCCAAAATCCTGATTTCATGCATCCCACTTCCATTCTGTTATCTCCTCTGTTGTTAGCCTGTTCACTGCAGCATTTGCTTCCAGAGAATGACATCACTGATCTTGAATCCACTTACCCATCTGCAACCTTGTCATCATCTGCGTTATCTCTCTCTAGCTCATTTCTCCCATCATCCTGCTTATATTTTAGGTTCTGGCTTTAATATCACCACCTTGAAAAACCCCTTAACTTTCTCTCCTTTTGCCATTTTGCCTCAGAAATCACTGGATAAAACCAAAAATCTCTTAGTTAGAACTTGCTCCCGAGAAGTTGAAAAATCTCAATGTTGCTCACAGAACTCATCTTCAGGGGATGGTTACCAAGTTCAGTGTACACTCAAGTGTTAGATATTCTTCCATTTCTATGATAAATCACTTTCCCGTTCTCTGAAATGGCCATTACACATCTTTTTTTCTCCTTAAGTCTACAGAACTCCTTACTATTAGCTGATGTTTTTGTTTCATACTTTGCTGAAAAATTAGATGAAACCAGATGGTGTTCCCTTCAATTTCCCCAACAGATCCCACACCTCCACCTTCATGTATACCTTCCCACCTGTAACAGACGGTCTACTTTCTAGGACAATCCGTTTCTCTTGATGTTTGGGTTCCAGCCCTTTAACACTTAAAATATCTTGTTCTTAAACTTTATCCCCCTCTTCATCAATGCTGTCAATCTTTCTGTCTCTATGGGATCAATTTCACTGGCACACAGCATAAACTAGTATCATTTGTCCCATAAGAAAAATCAAAACTTTGACTTGCACCTACATCACCAGGCCAGATATCTACCTTCGGTTCCTCTAAATTCACTCAGGACCCTGTGGGCCTGTTTTACCTTGGACCCTGCAGCATTGGATTCCAAGAATTCAAGCTTTGGTTACATCTGGTGAATGAGCAACTGGCCCTTGAGGTGGCCCAGGCTTTGCAAATGTCTTCAAATGAGGTTATTTATAAATAAAGTCTTTCACACTTATCCCAATTTGTGCCATTCAATCTCTGCTGGAATCCTCCCTGATAATTTCACTTTCTAGCTATAGTCTCATTTCTCTGATGGGATGTTTCTCTGATTTTTCTCATAGTTTACTGGCAACTCCTTCTCAGTGCCCTCTCTTGGAACTGCTGTTCCTCAAATCTGATAGATCCCTGTATGTCAAAGTACCCGAAGGTTTTGTCCTAATCCCTTTTTTTCCTCCTCTTTACCTTATAACCTCATTTAGTTCATAGTTTGAGATATCATCTCTATGCATTAGTGACATTATGATATATGTCCTTAGGCAAAGTTCATATTCTAGGCTATATACAAATGGATAACTACAAACTAAACACTTTATTAAACACTTGGAAATCCAATGGACAGCTCATACTTAATATGGCCCAACGGCACAACCAATTCCCAATCTTTTCAGTCTCCCAATGGCATCTTCCTCTCCACAGGCTCCCCTGTGTAATTTTAGAGTTCTATAACCCACCCAAATTCCCAGGTTGCAAATCCCCAAATCTCCTTGATCTTTCTTTTCCTTATATCACACATTTAAATCTATTAATATGTCTAATCAACACTGCCCCTTAAGTATTCAACTCCAATCACTTTTTTTCCCTATCTCACGTCTAAAGTCTGAGACAACATCTACTCTTGCCTGGTCTCCTAAGGTAGCTTCATATATGGACTCCCTGCATTCACTCTTAACTGTCTGGCTTACAACACAGTCAGAATAATCTTCTTAAAGTGTAAGCTACCCCTGTTTCAAACCCACTGGTGCTCTCTCACCTCTCTCAGGAAGTCCAGACTTACTGTGCTGTTGTGTGTGACCTTGTAAGACTTGGCTCCTGACTACTTCTGTGACCTCACCCTTCTTCCCCTCCCCCTTCTTCCCTCCTCCTTGCACTCTTTAACCCCTGCTCATTTACCAGGGCCAGAAACACTAAAGCTTCTGTCCACTGAACCTTCCAAACTCATTCATGTCCCTGGGCATTTGCTCATGATGTTGTCTGTTTAGGATAGCTCCTCTCATCTCTGCTTAACTGGTTTCTCCTCTGTGTTGAGTAGCATTTCTCCTCAACTCACTCTGTCATGTTAGCCTATACTACTCTCTTCATTGTATGCACCAGTGCTTAAAAGTATCTAAGGGCAGGTGTTTGGCACAGTAGCTAAATCACCAATTATGATGCTCACATCCCTTATCAGAGTGCCTAGTTTGAACCCTGCCTATCCTATTTCTGATCAAGGTTTCTATTAATGTGCACCCTGGGAGGACAGGTAATGAATCAAGTGCTTGTGCCCCTGACTTCCATGTTGGAAATCCAAACTGAGATATGATTTCCAGGCTTCAGTCCTGGCTGTTACGGCATTTGGAAGTGAGCAGGTAGGTTCAAGATCTCTGTCTATGTCTCTGTCTCTCTGCTTTCAGATAAAATAAATAAATAAAAATTGAAAAAAATTATTTAATTTATTTATCTGAATATGTGTTGATTATCTACCTGTTTCCGTAGCTGAGAAGATAGTCACTCCATAATTACCTTCATCTTTAGAATTGTGCATAGTATAACTATATGAAAAGTAATTAAGAACTACTCATAGAAGAAGTGAATGAATTAGATAACACAGAAAGGAATATAGAATTAAAATGATGGCCCCTGTTGTGACTGTACAGAGTAATTTTGGGTATCTGTCAACTAGGTATTCTAAGGAATAGCCAGAATCCTAGGAAAGCATTATTTTGGGTATATCTGTACAGGTGTTCCCAGAGGAAATTATCATGTGAGTCTGAGTTGAGCAGACAGGGAAGACCAGCCCTCCACTTGGGCAGGTTGGCTGGGGGAATAAGTACTCAAGTACCTCTGAGAGCCGACAGGCTTATCTCTTACATTGGACATCAGAAACCAATGCTTGCTGGCCGTTGGACTCCAACACTTGCACCAGTAGTCCCCACACCAAGTTCCCAGAGTTTCAGCTTTGAACTCAGAGTCGTAATATTGGCTTCTGTGTTTCTGAGGTCTGTGAATTTGGATTGAGTCTTGCTACCATTTTCCCAGGACTTCCAGCCTGCAGAAGACCAGTTGTAGGACTTCTAACCTGACTTAATCACATGGACCAGCTCCCCTGGTAACCTCCTTTCATATTTCTTTGTACATATATTAACTAATTTGTCTCCTTAGAGAGGCCTAAGTAATACAACTTCTAATTAATGTAAGTGTCCCTGAGAAATGGGGACCATGAAAATGACATTCACTGACTGTCTCCCAATCTGATTAGTCCTGACAGATTTTGTTAAATATGTTAATCATTCTCATATCAACCGTATGTGGCTCATGCAGGAGACAGATCCCAGGCTCACCCTGGGTAGCGGAAGAGAGTTTTAAAGTGACTGTATGTGAAGATTTGAAGGTATAAACAGGTGAAGGTATCGTATCTCAAGGGTTAACAGAAGCAGTGAGTTATCAACAACCCCAAGGGAAAGAGAATTACCTAAACCCAGAAAGAGCATCTGAATGGAGAAGGCAGCTTCAAGAGAGAAATGGAACACACAGGGAGAAATGCGTAAGGGGGGATGGGAGCAAGGAGTCAGTAGTCTGTGCCCTCTTTCTCAGTCTTCTGACTCCTTGCTATTAGCTCTTGCTACCCAAAGCCAAATGGCAAAGAGCTGACCAGGTTGTTAAGATGGAAAAGTGTAGAGAAAGATATGAGAGAAAATATCTGACACATGCATTAAGTAATCATTTCTACAAGATGAATGTTTCAGAAAGCTGGGTTTTTCCAAACCTCCCACATGGTCTCTTCACCTCTATAGACAATTGGAGCCCTGAGAAATCTTATTTGTCAGCTGTAACACAGACAACTGCACATATTGGACTGAGAGCATCCTAGTGTCCTATTCCCTCTTGCTTCTGGGACATGTCTGGGACATCGGCAAGTCCTGTGCATCATGTCCCTGATAGATGAAATTGTGCTTTGTTTTTTTTTCTTAAAGAGTTTTGACCAGTTTTCTTTATTTTTCCAGATCACTATTATCGTTGTTGTATTCCAGGTCTCCATAAAATATTTTTCAGAAATTCAAGATTCTGGGAGTTGAAGATATGCTGAAAATGAGTTTGCAGTTTGAGAACTTAAATTGTGATAGGCACCTGTGCTTGATCGACAAGCTCTCAATTAAGGTTTGTTCAGAATTAATGCTCATACTCTCTTTAGTATATTCAACCTTTTCTGGATTATAGGTTGAGTTAATCTCACATTAGCAATTGGATATTACCATCCATTCATGAATATTGACAATATTTTAAGCACCTGTTTTGTGCTAGGTCTCTCTATGTTGTAGTATGGAAGGAGAATTTGGTATAACATAAAATGAAAGAGATGTCTGTAAATTACTTACTAGAATTTGGTATATGCCAGGTCCTGGACTACTAATTTGTTTTACAATGCACAACTAGTCCTGGAATTTATCTACTGAAAAATATTAACAACAATGAAAACAGTTATGTTTAGTCAGCCTTTTTCTCTTCCAGTCACTATGTCAAGCTCTGAATTTTTCATATTCTTACTGTTTGAAATTTAGACGAAATAACACAGAGTCTTTTTCATATAAATTTAACTGTAAGTCTTACAGAACCCCAAAGCCACTATTTTTAAAATTGACCATTTCTTCCAGTTTCCTAGTAATATGTTTACATTATGATTTTGCAACTTTAGATGTCAGTGTTTGACTTGAAGTTTGGAAGGTGAGAATTTAGTTGTCTCTCACATCACAGCAAGAATCTCTTTCCTTCCCCTCCTCGCCCAGCTCCCAGTAGATCAATATTCAGTGTTTAAATTTGCACCCACAATATCATGATGAGCCACACAGTGTGTTATTATAACATTATATCTATTATTTTTATAGGTGATGTGTGTTTTTGGAGACAAAAGTCACCTACTGTTTTCATTTGTTCCACTTAACTGTCACAAATTCATCCACAAACTCTTCCAGGTGCCAAAACTTTGCTTATTGTTGTCAAATGCTTCATGTAACCTGCCAGTTGATTTATTTTTTCTTGGGATTGCTTCCTGCCCTCTGTCCCGCTTCATCTTTGTCATGCTGCTTCCATGCTGGCTGTGTCACAGTGACCTTGGAGCTTGTCTTTGACATCATTTTGGAATGACCTTCTCTGCTCCTCTGGATTGGATCTTTATTTCTCAGGTCTCTTTCCTGGGTTACTTTGGTGCAGCATGGTTTCCAATAGCTTTCTGAGTAAGAATGTAAGACTTTCAGGGTAAGGGAGTAGTTTTTGTTTTGTTTTAAGATTTAGTTTATTTGTTTGAAATACAGAGTTACAGTGAGAGGTAGAGCCAGAGAGAAACGTCTTCCATCCAGTGGTTCACTCCCCAAATGGCCACAATGGCCAGAGCTGAGCTGATCCGAAGCCAGGAGCCAGGAGATTCTTCCAGGTCTCTCACATGGGTGCAGGGGCCCAAGGACTTGGGCCATCTTCTACTGCTTTCCCAGGCCACAGCAAAGAGCTGGATTGGAAGTGGAGCAGCCAGGTCTCGAACCGGTGTCCATATGGGATGCTGTAGCTGCAGGCCAGGGCTTTAACCCACTGCGCCACAGCACCAGCCCCTAAGGCAATAGTTTTGAAACTAGACTATCTAAAAATATATGTGTTATCTTCTTATTCACCTGAGTTTGGAGAGTTATGAGATTTTATATTGGAAACCAGTTTTTCTCCAGTGTTTGTAAATATCATTCCCTTGTTTTCTAGTGTTTAGTGTTGTTAAGTGTAATGTCATTCTAATTCCTCATTCTCTGCCTTTTTTTTTTTTTTTTTTGACAGGCAGAGTGGACAGTGAGAGAGAGAAACAGAGAGAAAGGTCTTCCTTTGCCATTGGTTCACCCCCCAAATGGCCGCCACGGCCGGTGCACCGCGCTGATCCAATGGCAGGAGCCAGGTGCTTATCCTGGTCTCCCATGGGATGCAGGGCCCAAGTACTTGGGCCATCCTCCACTGCACTCCCTGGCCACAGCAGAGAGCTGGCCTGGAAGAGGGGCAACCGGGACAGAATCCGGCGCCCGAATGGGGACTAGAACCCGGTGTGCCGGCGCCGCAAGGTGGAGGATTAGCCTAGTGACCCGCGGTACCGGCTGATAATTCCTCATTCTCTGTAAGCGATTTTTTTTTTTTATTCTTCTATTGCAGCTTTCATTACCTTCTTATCCCTAGACTTAAAAATTTCTCCATGGTGCTCCAAGAAGTAGGTCTTCCTTCCTTCATTATATGGGATATATGTCATATCTCTATAGTATGGAAATTGACCTTGGTTTTGTGTATATTTAAGAAACAGATTTCAGAGATAACTTACTCCCATCTAATTTCCTCTCTCTCTCTCTCTCTTATTTGACAGGTAGAGTTATAGACAGTGAGAGAGAGACAGAGAGAAAGGTCTTCCTTCCGTTGGTTCACTTCCCTAATGGCCGCTACGGCCGGCGCTGCGCCGATCTGAAGCCAGGAGCCGGGTGCTTCCTCCAGGTCTCCCATGCAGGTGCAGGGACCCAAGCACTTGGGCCATGCTCCACTGCCTTCCCGGGCCACAGCAGAGAGCTGGACTGGAAGAGGAGCAACCGGGACAGAATCCAGTGCCCCAATCGGGACACCATGGTGCTGGCGCCGCAGGCGGAGGATTAGCCAAGTGAGCCACGGTGCTAGCCTCTCTCTCTCTCGCTCTCTCTCTTTCTCTCTTTTTTTTTTTAGAACTAGTATTTGTCAGTTAAGAGACTTCAGGATTAATGATCTAGTTTTCCTACCTTTCTCCAGTATTTTCCATCTTTTCAACTTTGATTTTTGAAATTCCTTAAGAGTTGTTCAATTTAATGTTGTAATCATTCCCTTGCTCACATTTTAACGTTTGTTTTCATGAAAAAAATCCACTGAGTTTTTTTTCCTTCTCTAAATGCTTATTTTGGCCTCTATTTTTTTTTTTTTTACATCCAAAGTGTACCCCAGTTGTCTTAGGACTATTGACACTTCACTAACAGTTAAAATGGGGCCTGGAAGACTGAATGAGAGTGCGGTTGGCTCTTGTTGGCTGGTGGCCCTTGACATAGAATGTTCAGAAGAGGAAGTACCATTTATCTGATGGTATCTGAAAGTTTTATCTGAAAGTTTTTTTTTCTCCTAGGAAGTATAGTGTCCATGGAAAATAGTTGTCCAGTATTATAGCTGAGGAACTGAAAACCATACAACACAGGGAAAGGCCATATAGACCCCTTTTATAAATGTGTATTTTGACCTAATTCCTTAATTTCCATGTAACGTCTCATAACCACCCTCACTGAGTATGATGTCTCCAAGCCCTTGCTTTCTCTATAACAATCTCTGTGGATAGCAAATGTCCTGTGCTTTTCTAGGACAATGGAGAAGTAATTGCTTTACTATCAGGACTAGGTAGTGAATCTATGCTTCTGTTTCATCTTCACACATTTCCAACCAATCCTCCTACTTAATCTCCTTTCAGATATTCCTGGTGCCGATAAGCTTTGAGCACTTCTGGATTTTCTGACACTAACTGGCTTCTAACTTTCCAGGTAAGGGCCTGAGTTTCAACTGGCTCTACTTTGCCTAATTGGCTTTTCCTATCCCTCTGTTTTCTGTAGTTAAATATTTAGCAGACATCTCTCATGTGATATCACTACTTTTTTAGTTTTCTTTGTCCTTGCAAGTTTATATAATTTTATATTCCATTATTGCTGTTTTATTGGTTTGTATAAGGGAACAAAGTAAAAATACAGATTTAACCTGCCTTTGGGCAGATGGGCATTTTCTGTGCTGATATTCTCAAAAGAATCCTCTCAGTTAATCATTACACTAGCTCTAGGAGCTGGGGAGTGTAATTGTCACTCTCTTAATGGTGAAGAAATGAGACACAGAGATGTTGGGTATATTGTTACTGTCCCCCAGCAGGAAGGTGAGTGGGTTGAGATATAAATCAGGGCAGGTTTGGCCTTCAGCCCATGTTCCTGTCATCATGATGTACTGAGGACCCTCCATGATGCTCACGTCTAACACATGCTCAATCTACAGTTATTGCAATTCAGATCCCTCTCCCCTGAGTCCAAATCTACTGCTGGTTCAGTTCTTACAGCCCAGCCAGTGCTGGGTTCATTTCATTTCTCTCTCTGCATGGCCTCTACTCCTGTTGATATCTCAATATCTATTGAGGGCCTAGTCTGCTGTGACCATCGTGTTCCTGAAACTGACTCCAAAGAAAACCTGCATTTTACATCTTTTGACGACTTAGTTCAAACATCTGATATATGAAAATGCAGGAGTTTTAATTATATTACTTTCCTCGAGCGGCATTTGTGCACCATATTTCTGTCACCTTCTATAAGGGAATCTAATTTACATTTCAGTGATTTGCTGTCTTCTCCTTGGTTACAGATCATGCTGCTTCTTAATCTGACACTTGTTAAAAACTACCTGAGATAAATATTCATTTCATTTCTCTTTACTCCTGGGAAGTACTCTTTCTTGGATCTCTGTCTGGCATTCATGAACTGAGTTAAGAAGGATTCATATTTAAGGGCAGGCTCCATATCCACAGATCAGCCAACCATGGATCAAAACTAGTTTTGTTTTAAATGTCTTCACTGAACATGTACAGGCTTTTTTTTTTCCTTGTCATTATTCCTAAAACAATACAATAGTAACAATTATTTAGATAGTATTTACATTGTATTAGGTAAGTAATGCAGAGGTTTTAAATCTAAAGGATTTAAAGCACAGGGAAGGTTGTATGTAGGTTAAATGCAGATACAATATTTTATGGAAGGGACTTGAGCAGCCACAAAGTTTGGAACCCGTAGGGTCTCCTGGAACCAATCCTCTGCAGATAATGAAGGATGACTGTGCTTGTGAATGGAAAAGTAGAGGAAAAACAAGTTCTTATATTAGTATTGAATTTGCCAGCTGCTTCTGCATGAACTTAGGTAATTCCTACAACCTCAGCATCTTTTTTTTTTTTTTGAAGATTTATTCATTTATTTGACAGGTAAAGTTACAGAGAGGCAGAGAGAGAGAGGTCTTCCATCTGATGGTTCACTTCCCAATGACTGCAATGGCCAGAGCTGTGTTGATCCGAAGCCAGGAGCCAGAAGCTTCTTCCGGGTCTCCCACACAGGTGCAGGGGCCCAAACACTTGGGCCATCTTCTACTGCTTTCCCAGGCCATAACAGAGAGCTGGATCAGAAGCGGAGCATCCAGGACTCAAACCGGCGCCCATATGGGATGCCAGCACTGCAGGCAGTAGCTTTACCTGCTGCGCTACAGCACTGGTCCCCAACCTCTACATCTTAGCTTTCTTGGCTTAACAGTGGGTTTATTATTTCCATCCTCTTTGCCATTACAGAACATAGCCATGGCACCTTTTAATGTAGAAAAATATTTTGTAATTCTAATATAGTTTCTGTTAAGCTGGTGTTCATTTACAATATCACAAGTGTGACCTCATCCATATATCACTACTAGTAGTTAGTCAATATCTTTTCCTTAAGGTATAACTCATTTCTTTTTATAAAATAAGTTTGTCTATAAAGGAAAATTTTTTGAAAGAAGATAAAAAAGACAAAGGTAAAATAAATGGAAGAAGCATACCCAAGAGAGAAAATGATGCTCAATGGATGTGTTTGGGAGGAGCGGCAGTGAGGGCTTGAGGACTAGCTTTTCAGTGAGTTGGACCCAAACATAGGAAAGGATGATTAAGGGAGAGGGGGACTTGAGGCAGGTAGCGGGTTGACCATTAGAAGATGAGAACTCTGCCCTGAGAAGGCAGATGGGCGTGGGAAGGGCCGGACGCTTCTGACTGAGTGTTAGGGTGGCTGAGGGAGGACAGCTGGGGTGAGACTAATGTTTAGCTTAGACAGGTTCTGCATCGGTCAGGGCTGAGAGACTGGGGAACTTGAGGAAGCACTGCTGGTTGATGAAGAGGATGCTGGGTATGTTAAAGGAAGGAATGCTAGGGAAGGTAAGGGAGGGTCAGTGAGGAGGGCTTGAGGACTGGCAGTGGCTACTCAGATGGGGCCGTGGGGATGCTGCAACAAGGTGAGCCCAGCCCCAGTTTGGAAGTGGGTAGGATGTTGAGGTGCTGGAATATGTGTCCCTATCATTTTATGTTTCATAGGATTTATTCCTTGGCTGGACTCTTGACATGCAGGTGATGGTCCCCAAAGGAAGCACACTCCACTTAAAGTTGTTTTTGCTTATTGCAGGCTACTACCTGTGGGTGTAGTGCACTTTGGAAAGCACTGCTTGGAAGTATTCCACAAATATATGGAATGGCTTTGAGTACATATCATTGTCCTTTGGGTTTTCTTCCATTCTTCCCTGGTAAATACTCACTTAACCCAGTATCTGGGAACTGAAAATGACTTTGCTATGTGTTTATATTGTACCTGAGGAGTGTGCAGAGAACTGTTATTGGCAAAATTATAACATCTGGAAGTTCAAACTTATAACACCTTTTAATATCTGGCAAATGTAATGCTTTTCCATTTTGATTTCTGTTTGGGTCTGTCTCTAAAAAAAATCTAAAAAATCTTGCTGTAACAATTTTGGCTTAGAGAGGAGAAGGTTTGTAATAAATGCAGTGGAAATGGTTACATCATAAACTGTTTCAAGACCTTCCCTAAAATGGGAAATCTGGGAGACAGCTCAGCACTCCCTCTTGCTGGATTCCCACACTCAGTGCCGCCGACAATAGAGGATTAAGTGTCCTGAGCATTGTTTTGGGATTGGGATTTCCAGTCTGGGAGGCCCAAACCTGAAACTCTGCCTAAACTCCAAAGGACAGCGTCAGTTCAAAGCCTGGCCTATCCATCCTTAGCTAGAGCAGGGTCATTTAAAAGGACTGTCCGTGATCGTGGCTGATTTTGAGCAGTTGTATCAACAGGGAGAAACAAGAAGGAAGTTGTTTAAGGGGAAAAGGAAGAAACCTCCATAATCTTCCTGAATTTTTTATACTTCCTTCCTTCCCTTTCCTGCTTCTAGGTCTATTATTTAAATTTATATTTGAGTTCCTTGCACATCCTGTAAAATAACTTCCTGTTTCATACAAAATGAATAATCATGCTTCTGAGTATCCGTGATCCATGGCTGGGAGATGCTAGGATTTTGAGGGGAGGTCAGAGTCATTTAATTTAGTCTCTCATGTGAAATGAGACACGTCCATGCCAGCGAGGTGAAATGATGTGCCCAAGGTCACCCAGCTGGCTAGCAGCAGCTCAGGGCTAGGTCACAATCCCCTGCCTCCATCTGCTGTAAATCCTCTTGGACAGGCTTTGTGGCAAGCTACCAGCACAGCTTATTGGAAAGCATTTAAGAACGTTAGACAGTCTGCAGATGTGATTTTAAAGGTTATTTATTTGTTTTACTGCAGATCATGACTTCCCCTCCATCCGTCTTCTTGTTTCAGGGCCAGATTTTGCCCTTTGATGTTCTTTGTGGCATTCTCGTTGCCTTTGGCCCGAATCTGAAATAGGGCTTGACCCAAAGCTACTGGTGTCTTTGTTTGCTCTCGGAGGACTTCCCTTCCCTGCAGGGGACTCCGAAAAGTCAGCTGTCTCAGAGTCACTTTCCACATAAGATGCATCCTGCTGTGTCTGTTTCATAAAATCTTGGAGCTGGAGGGCACCTCTGAGGTCATCTCTCCGACCTCCTGCCCAGTTCAGGCATGTCTTCCAAAAATTCCCTGGCAAATGGTCACCTGGTCTTACGGCTAGAAGCTACCTTGGGGATCAAAGAATGTATTGACTTCCTTTTGTAGGTGAAGAATCTCAGCTTCAGTTGCAGAGGTGACATGGTTCATCCCCATAGATGCAGGAGAGCCAAAACTGAACTCAAGTTTCTGAGTTAGAGTCTGTAGCTCTTCCCAGTGAATTATCCAGCCTCTGGTAAAAGTCTTTCAATAATTGTCCAGTGAATTGTCCATTTCTTTATTGGTGGATCTAATTAATTTATTGAGCCCTTATTTTGCCTAGTACAACAGTCATGTACAAATAGTCACTTTACAAGAGGAAAAATCAACACACGGAGGAGCCTTTATTCCTTAAGGCAATCAGTCTTTGGGAGTTCTGAGTTTCCTAATGCTATTGTAACAAACTTGGACTAAGATACCACAAATATGTTATCTTAAGTCCTGGAGGTCAGAAGGGTGAAGTGACCATTACTAGGCTAAAATCAGGGAGTTGCAGGGCTGTGTTCTTTCTGGACACTCCAGAGGAGAATCTGTTCCTGTTTTTTTCTGGCTCCTGGAGGTTGTCAACATTCCTTGGTCCATGGTCTGGCCCCTTCCTCATCTTCAAAGGATGTCACCCTGATTCTTCTTCCATCATTATGACTCTCTCTTGCCTATATCTTTCCCTTATAAGGCCCTTGTGATTATATTCCATCCAACTCATCAAGCAAAAATAATCTGTCCATCTCAATCCCTAATGTAAGCACATCTACAAAATCCCTTTTGTCATATAAGGCAACACATTCACAGGTTGTCAGGATTGGGACCCTGACATGTTTGAGGACCATTATTCTACCTACCACAGACATCATACTCACAGACAAAGCAGCTCAGAGATTTCAGAAAGATATGAAAAGGGAATATTTTCAGAAAATGGATGTTTGAACCAAATTGGGGAGGTTATGAAAAGTTCACCAGAGATCAGAGGGGACAGGAGGAATGACAAGGGGAGGGGCATGTTTAAAGCTGGCCAGATATGAGATGAGCACATGGCACCTTTTGGGGAATGTCCAGTATCCAGGATAGCTATGAAATACTACAAATATGATTGAAATGCTTTCCTAAAATCTCAATATACATCAGTTATAATAATAGATGCAATGAAATATCTAAAGAACTCAAAGTCATTTTATTACGGTTTATTTATTTATTTGAGAGGTAGAGTTACAGAGAGAGGGAGAGACAGAGAGAAAGGTCTTCCATCTGCTAGTTCATTCCCCAAATGATCGCGATGGCTGGAGCCTGGCTAATACAAAACCAGGAGCCATGAGCTTCTTCTTTCAGGTCTTCCATGCAGGTGCTGAGGACCAAGCACTTGGACCATCTTCCACTGCTTTCCCAGGCCATAAAAAGAGAGCTAGACTGGAAGAGGAGCAGATATGAACCGGTACCCATATGCAATGCTGGTACCACAGGTGGAGACTTAGCCTACTATACCACAATGCTGGCCCCCAAATTAATTTTGGAAAAGGTATATTGATAGGGGTTGAAAGATGATGGTGAGGTTTGTATTTTAAGTCAATCATTTAGGGATAAGAGTAATCGAAGTATTAAGTGGTATGAACTGCCTTGAGTAGACAGTATAGAGTGGAGAGGTCTTAAGGTTGAGAAATACTTATTTTAAAAATAGGAAAGGTCTATAGCAAACATAATATTTGGGGGGTTTTTCAATATGTGATATCACAAATGAGACCATTCATTGTTGCCAACCAAATCCTAGCAGCTGCTTGATTTAGATCCAGCAATGATCTCAAGCTCCGGCTTCCTACAACACTACTTGAAAATTTGCTTAAGGGTGGTCTTAAATTATACCTCACCATGATGATCTTTTCAGGGTACACAGAAAAGGGAGTAGCAAATTTAAAATATTTTTATTCAATTTAAAACTTTTATCTCATATGTATTCTTTAATCCTTCTTCAACTTTCCTGCTAGCAAGTACACACCCAAATGAATGAATGGCATTAAATGGATAAATGCAGATTTGAAGCAAGGTTTGGATATATGAAGAACTGTGATCTGTGTGAAAGAAGACTGCTCTCTCTTGTGTTGTAATTAGATGCACCTAGAATTCGGAGGGTCCCACAAGGAACATACTGGTTCCCAGGTTCTCTGTTATCACAAGTTGAATGACCATTGCATTTTTTTCAGCGAGAGTTATTGGTACTAATTTTGTTCCAAGTTGTGCTATAAGCTTAAGGGATACAGAAACATGTAAATCATTGCATTCTGAAAAAGTGGTTTTAGATCTTAAACCTAAAACTCAAAGACAAGTTGGGTAATGTTAACTTCTTCAGCATCTCCGATTTATTACCAATGATCTGCTTAAATCCCTCAGCTCCTTTATTTTCTTACCCTAGTTTTGTGCAAAAAGAACAGAGAAGAGTGCCAAGCACAAGGTAGGAACTCAATCAATGATTGTGGCATGAAGAATGAGGATAATGAAGTGAAAAATCTGGGGGTAAGGTGCTACACTCCACTCACAGAGATACTAATTGTCAATGCTGAACTTGAACTAATATTTCATTCTAAAGACCTTGCTTTGTGCACCCCAAAAATCTGCTGATGCTTGTCAAAATAATAGCAAACTTTCACTAAATGTTCCTTATGTGTCAGCCTCTGTTCTAAAAGCTTCGTACACATTAATCCGTTTCTTCATCACTGAAAAACACCTATTAAGGTAGAAGCTGTTAGTGCCCTCATGTTTTATATTAGGAAACAGAGGCTTT